GTGACTCAGCCAGACCTGATGCAAGATTGCCCCCACCTAGCTACCTGCCTGCTTGGTGGAATACTATTGGCCCTTAACTCATGTCACCTTACCCTATCCTAAGATTCCCATCCCCTACCTCAGCCCTATATAAGTTCCTGCCTGTTGGAATAAATTGAGATCCTGCTTAGACAGACTCAGTGTTTTTTCTCCCTAGTAACTAATTGGGGGAGGGTCTGAGTCGTCAACACTCACCATCCCGCTCAGCCCCCCCCCCCCGCTCTACCTGCAGGGGGGACCCTGCACTCTGGGACCAGGCTGATGGGAATACTCATCACCAAGGCACCGGCAGCTGCACAGATGCACAGGGCCACATGGAGCTCAGGCTTCACTGAGGCCTGGGACAGCAACATGGACCAGACATGATTGGTACACACTCTCTGGTGGCATCGTGAACCACAGTGGTCCTACAAGGAGGCACAATCCAAAAAGTTAAACTTTGCTCATCTCAGCCCTTCATCATTGCCCAGAGCCAGAGGGAGCCCATGGCTGGGTGGCAGGTTTGGGGGCTGTCTACACCTGTCACCACCCCACTATCCCTACTGGGCTATGACATCATCCTCAGCCCTCTCACTTGTCACCACATCTCCAGCTCTCCCTCTCCATAGTGCACACACTGCCCTTCCTCTCCCCCCATCTTTCCATGGCATATTTGTTCACTGTAGTGGCACACACCTGCCTCAACCATGGGGCACAGGTGACACTCCTGTCTTCTGGCTACGTCAAAATGACTTCTGGTTTTTATCTGTGCCCTTATCACTGTCCACACAAATAATAAGTTTTTGCTGCATCAAATTAAAAATAGAAACACTTTGACCATATACCTAACCTATAAAGCATAAAATTATAGCCTTGCATGGTAGTGTATGTTTTATTCTATACTCTGGAGACAGAGGCAGGCAGATCTGAGTTCAAGTTCAAACTAGTCTACATATGGAGTTCCAGACAAAAATCCCACGAAACATTTTTAAATTTCTAGTTTTCTGATCTGACTTTTACAATCTGCGGTTCATGTAAGTTCTGAAAGCATTCACTTGCAGGCCCACAACTTACAGAACGGGACTCCTCACAATGACCTTTCCCTTCTCATTCCCTTCACTTGCTCTTAAAAATCCCTATTTTAATGCTTTTCCAACAACCTCCTCCTCTCATCATTTCTTCAGTTCCCAGACAGTCAGCTTTGATCACTGCTGTAGTCAATCCTCTACACCCCCCCCCCAGAACAGAACCAAAAGGCACCTAAAGTTCTCAGTAGCTACAAGAGGAACATCAGAGTCGGACCCCTCGGAACTCAAGACTCCAACCTTTTTTGAGGTGCTGGGGCTTAAGCCAGACACCCACCCATGCTAGGCAAGCACTCTACCACTGAGCTACACCCCAACACCTACTTTTTTTTTTTTTTTGGTTTTACGAGACAGGGTTTCTCTGTATCGTTTTGGAGGCTGTTGGTCCATCCACCCCAGCCTCGAACGCAGAGATCCGTCTGCCTCTGCCTCTGGAGTGCTGGGATTAAAGGCGTGCGCCACCATCGCCCGGCCCTACTTACCTTTTTAAAGGTTACAGAAGAAAAACAACAGAGTGATAGACATGGTGGCTAATACCTATGAATTCCTAGCACTTATGAGGCTGGGACAAAAGGATTTAATTCCTCCTGAGTTACAGAAGCTTTTCTCAAGAGAAAATCAGAACAATGTGATGAAAGGTATACCATTGGGTACAGCATGCACACTGCTGTGTGTCTCCTTTTATCTTTCAGGGAAATCAGCACCACTGGGTCATCAGCTGTATTGGTTCTCCTGGTTTTTGCCAATGACATGCATGCACAGGTGCTGGGACACACACAAACACACATGCCTGCCCAATGAACTTTGTGACAGGGTCTAACGCAGTTCAGGATGACCCTCAACTGATAAACCTGCCTCTACCTCCCAAGTCCTGGGATTACAAGTATGCCCCAGCATAACCATCTAAATGAACTTATCTCTTAAATATATAACACAAATACTTAAGACACAAATGGCTAAAACATAAAATACATGCACCAATCATATGCAAAATACATATAAAAGTCATTGAAATACCAGGGACTGAAGAGATAGATGGCTCTTCTTGCAGGGGACCTGCATGATTTACAAAGGTACTTCAGTTCTAGGGCCTCCAACAATCTCTTCTGACCTCCATGGACACCAGTCATGCACACAGGCATGTAAAAACCATGTAGTAGTATTGCCAGGCAGTGCTGGATTAAAGAATCTCAGCACTCAGGAAGTAGAGACAGGCTGATCTCTAGCCCCTGCATAGAAACAGCATAACTGTTTCAAAAACAAAGCTGTGAGCATTCAGTTCAAAGATAGTTTTCACAACCTGGAATGATGTTAAGATGGAAAGGTTAGCTGTAGGCAGCCAGATTAAATGGGATTGCTGTGAAGTAGCTCAGAGAATTCACCTAGTCCTCATAAAGACGATTCTGACTTTGGAACTCATCTACAGACCAGCCAGCATCCAGTATTGTTCATGTTTTGTTCACCAAACTCACATTTTCTGGTTATGTTGTCAAGACCTGTTTTCTTTTCCTAGAAACTTGTACTTATTACGGTACCACTTTACACATGTATTAATTTACCCTCCCCAAAAGTTTTACAGCTATTACTCTAAATTTTTAAAAATATTTTATGTATACAAATGTGTCACATGTATGTCTGTGTACTATACAAATCCTTTGGAAAAGCAGCAACTGCTATCAACTGTTGATTCTCCAGTATTCTTGATTCTTTGTGGACTCCAACACAGAACCAACAGCACACTTCAACACCTCAGAATCCATACCCCAAAAACATTCTGGTCATTAAACCCAGGCTAAAAAAAAAAAAAACCAGAGCAATCTGCTCAATCAAAATAGTTGGCATAGGCACTAACAAAAAGAAAACTATTCCATTCACTGGGTGTACCTCTGCCAGAATCTATGTGTATCTGCAATGCCAGCACTCAGAAGGCAGAGGCAGTTGGATCTCTAAGTTTGAGGCCAGCCTGGTCTATGTAGCAAGTTCTAGGATAGGTAGGACTAGATACAGATGTGACCTCAAAACAAGAAGTCCCAAACAACACAAAATGGGGGAAGATAACACATTTTTGAAACTGGCTAAGAATACTGAATAACGGATGAAATTTAGGGCTGCTGTCCCAGAACCAATACTTAGGTATCACAATAGTCACTTATTAAATATTTAAGCTTACTCATTATATATACCTATATCACAACTACATTAATCCTATTTACTGCATGCCCCTGTAGCACACACTTTACAAAAACAAAATCAGGGGCTGGAGACATGGCTCAGTTGTTAAGAGGACTCACTGCTCTTACCTGGGTTCAATTCCCAGCACCCACATGGCAGGTCACAACTGTAATCCTAGTTCCAAGGGACCCGATACCTTCACCCCAATGCATATAAAGGTTAAATTAAAAAAATAAAATCTGGGACCTAAAGCTGGCTTAGGAAAACACTTGCTTTTGAATTAACATGGTGGCTCACAAACAAAGATCCAGTGCCGTTCAACCCCTGCAGACCAAGCATGTGTAGACGCACAAACTCAGGCCATTCACTACCCTCATCTTTGTAGCTCAGAACCCATAGATTACAACTGGGACCTATCATAAATTTTTAAAGTAGTACCAACACCTAATTGGAATTGAGTCCAACTTGGTAATGGTATATATACTTAAAACTACCATGATTTCTATGATCATCTCAATGCAGGCAGATGCTTCTGTGACTGCCTTGTTTGTTCATGTTTTTCCTAATAATGCAACCTCCAGGGAGCAGAAACAATATGGTAGAAATGAAAAGCTACCTCAAACAATGGCCCAAATGGAACTTAGTTCTTAAAACCTAAGTCTCTGTGTTTTTTCTGATATTTACTATATGTTTAGCTGTTCAGAAAGATACTTCTCATCCTGGGTCCCATCGTAAGTCTGGGAATCCCCTTTATCCCCACTATTTCTATGTGCCCCCCCCCATCTTAGAGGTCCTCTTAGTTTGATGAGACTTGCAGGGGGGCTTCCAAATATTCCCATAAAACAATGCTTGCTCAGCCGGGCAGTGGTGGCGCATGCCTTTAATCCCAGCACTGGGGAGGCAGAGGCAGGCGGATCTCTGTGAGTTCGAGGCCGGGCTGGTCCAACAGCCTCCAAAATGATACAAACAAACAAAACAAAAAAAAAAAAAAAGTTTTTTGTTTTTTTTTTTTTTTTTTTTTTTTGGTTTTTCGAGACAGGGTTTCTCTGTATTGTTTTAGAGGCTGTCCTGGAACCCGCTCTGTAGAACCAGGCTGGCCTCGAACTCACAGAGATCTGCCTGCCTCTGCCTCCCGAGTGCTGGGATTAGGATTAAAGGCGTGCGCCACCACCGCCCGGCTGCTTGCTCTTCTTTATACAAGACTGCTACAAGCAGCATCATGTTCCCTGCATCATTATCATAAACCCAAGTTTAGGTCTGGATCTGTAGAAGTCTAGGTTGAATCTACAGTAATGGGGGTGAAGGGGAACTATAAAGCAACAAAGAGATCCTTGAACGAGCTTGGGTCAGGACACTGTCATGTTAGTATCTCGTGGATCTAAGTCAAACTTAAGTCTGTCCATGGATGTACATATGTATCTTTATGAAAAACCTGGACAGACTATTGGAATAGCCAAAGACTAAAAAAGCCCACAGGCTAACCCTACTTATAACAGCCTTAAACTGAAATGAATTGGGTACTAAACCAGGTATATTTAATACATCAGCCCCAAAGAGAAATCTTCATTCCAGTATCTACTTGGCCAATATATTTGAGAAATACACTTTCCAAAACAGCACATAGTATGTTATCTTAAAGCAAGAACAATATTGCACCAAACACTAAATAAACCACAGAACTCTAATTACAATAAAAAGAAAGTCAACACTTCTTTGTAAACCAAGTTGCATCAGCAATTTTTCTCTTTGCCTTTATTTAAACAGTTCTCAAAACATTTGAGTGAATTGGGCCTCCTTTGGTAAGCAAAGGACCTAAAAATAATATTTAAAAAATGAACAGGCAGTCTTCAGTTTATCCATGACACAGGTGTGGTGATCCCTTCTCTCATTTCATACTTTGAAAAGCACCCAGTATTATCATATAGTCTAAAAGCTAGAAGAACAAGAGTACATTTGTGGTGGAATGTATTGTCATCAACTTGGTGATATACCATTATCTCTTTGTAACAGCCTTAACAAACAGCCTTTTAAAGACATGTATCTGTAGCTCTTATTACCTGCTATATATAATACAGATTACATAAAGGCTGACAAATTCCACATTAATGTAAGCTTTAAGCATTTGCTGTATGGAAAGATTTTTGTTCTAATACTAGCAGCACAGAGTTACAGCATATTTAACACTTAATTGCAAGTATATTGAATATGGCAAGTTTCATGGACTCCTCAAAGAAAGTGAATATTTTTATTTTAAAGTATTTTACTGGTAACTTAAGGGTGGCTCTGGTTAAGCATTGATATTTAGAAAGAAAAAGAAAAAAAAATCAAACTTGTTTATTGTTGCTTTTTGCCATTTGGTAGCATTTTACACACAGGCTTCGATCTTCAGAATACCCTGGATTCAGTAGAAAAACCTTTTAAATGAAGTTTTGTACAATAGAAACTTCTCAGCAGTCAAAATTTGGACTGTAAAAAAATACATGCAAAACATACTTTTCTGAAAACACTTAACTTTGAACAAAGCACCGAACTACACAAATGCAGAATGAAAACAGCATTTCAACTCCACCAAAAGTAGTCATCATAAAAGGTGTAAAAGTCACCTAACTTCACTAGGCACTGTTCACTTTTTAAACAGGAGACAATAGAAAATATTGTCCACAACAATATCCCAGCTCTATGGCAGGTTTCAGAAAGTCTTCAACTTCATGCTTTAATAGCGACCTGGAAAGAAAACAAACATGTTAATGTTTGGGAATCAAAAAATTTTAAACCTTAAGCAAATCCTAAGAGATAAATAAAACTAATCAAGGTAACTTACGAGGTGAGTATGATCGCGATCTGGAACGTGACCTGTATCCTCCACGACTGTAGTACGGAGAAGGTGACCGCCTTCTGTAAATAAATAAAGACTGTCTAAATCTACATCTAGATGACATTGGGCTAATAACATGAAGCCAAACTTTTGCCAGTCCTCAAGCTGGAAAGTCCCAACAAATCTTTAAAGTACAGTTTATACATTAAAAAATTATATATTTATTATATATATAAAAATTATATATGAAGTTCAATTAATTTTTATTTCTACAAAGACTTTTATATTGTCTATTGAGAACTACTTTCATGTCCCTATTCTTGCAGGGAACCTACATTCAATTCCTAGCACCCACACAGTGGCCAGTCTTCTGGTCTCCAAGGACAAAAAGTAAGCTCGTGGTAAACATAAATGCAGACTAAATACACAAACTAATTAAAAAATGAAGGTCAGGCAGCATGGTTGGCATGCCTTTAGTCCAGGAACTTAGTAGCCAAAGGCAGGCAGGTCTCTCTGAGTGCTAGGACAACACAGGAAGCCAGAGTCAAACACAAGCAAATCAAATCTTAGTGGTGTCACTAAGAGAACAGTTACCTAAGTATCAGGCAAACATTGTGTAAGTATTCTGTTTAGTCAGACTGTAAACCCTTTTGGCACACCTGTAAATTTGATCCCTGTCTTGAGCAGCTCTCCATCCACCTCCTCCTCCACCACCTCCTCTGTAAAAACAGAAAAGGGAGCAAATTGTTTAGTGAACATGTTAAAGAGCTCTTTCTAAAATGGTAGAGTTGTTCTCAGTAAACAGAGACCTTTAAACTTCTCAGCCCCAAATACCACTACTTAACACAGTAATGCTTCAAAGGGGGAGAAAATACCATTTTGGCAAAATTCTGGATGTCAAATTGCACTAAAGACTTCCATAGACAATGCTATCACGGATACTCTTGAACCTGAAAATCTCACTTATAAAACCAACCAACCAACCAAGGTGTATACTTTATTACAAAAGTTTAAAGTCTCATAATTACTGGTTGGTTGATTGCTTCCTTGATACTTTAACAATCTGAATTAGATACCCAGAACCCAAGTAAAAGTCCAAGAGAACAACATACATGTATAACATCAAATTTCATCTTTGTATTAGCACACCAAATTTAATGTTCCCCATTTATATTTTAGAATGAAGCAAGCATCCAACTATATACCACATTAGATGTCTTAAATTTTGGTTTAAATAACAGCTACAATTTCTTACTTTTAAAAGTTCAGGGTATTTTTTTGTACCGTTTTATGTGAATAGACTCCTATACAACTTACCTGTATGATCTGCTGTAATAGTCCCGATCATCATAACCCCGATCATATCCTCTGTCATAATAATCGCGGCGGCGTGAACTGCCACTGTGAATGACAACATACCTTTTAGTAATTCAAAATGATCCTCTCCCTTTTTGGTCACAACTTTTGCTATTAAAAATTGTGAGAAGAGAACTCATGAAATCAACCAAATTCCTTGGATATGCTGAGACAGTTGGCTTTCCTGAACAAAAACTGGAGACATCTACAAGCAGACCTCTTAAGTACGTTAACCCCAAAAGTTATTTTTATATAATTCTCATCAATATTATCGATGGTTTCTTGTTACACTGTATTATTTGGATGTATATATCTATATGCAACCTTTTGGTTTTAGGGGCACACAAATCCAACAGATTTTCTATAAAACTGTTGGGCATGGTAAACACATCTTTAATTCAATCTCAGCACTAAGGAGGCAAAGGAAGGTAGATGTCTGTGATCTTGAAGCCAGCCAGGGATATATGGCGCAATCTTGTCTGAGAGGGTGGGATAGGGGTGTAGTCCTTGAACCCATACTGCACACCAGGCTGGCTACCTGCCTCTGCTTTCCAAGTATTGTGATTAAAGGCATTTGCTACCACTGTTAGGTGAGATGCTGTCTTAAAAAGGTTTTTTTAAGTCAGTTTAAAAAAAACAAGGTGAGTATGAGGCTGAGACTCTGTGAGTAAAGTGCTTAAAGAGCAGAAAGATCGTAAAGCCAGACTGGGGAGAAGCACCACACAACTGTACAGTATGAACATGATAGTGTCACTGCACTCATGAGCTAATAGTTACCTATACCAGTTAACATTCTAGCATGCACAGGAGAGAAGTTCCTCCCCATGCCTAACCTAGGAACTAGCTGCAACTAGACTAGAGGTGGTTTTCTAGGAAGGTGTGGCACATGGTTGGTTGACCATAACGCAGTAGACAGCCACATACTCATGAAGCATATAGGTGGAAAGAAGGGGGTTTGAGGGGACAGTTCATGGAGGAGTTGAGAGGGTTGTACATCTAGGGAAGATGACATGAACAGTAAGGTGGCTCAGTAGGCAATGATGCTTACAAGCCTAGCATTATGATAATCTCCAGAACTCATGTAGAAGTGTAAGAATGGCATCTATAAAGGTGTCCCCTGAATCTTACATACATGTGGATGTGCAAGCACACAGCATGTTTTTTTTTTTTTTAAAGAATTTCTCCTAAACATGTTGAGATTGGTAGGGAAAATTAGAGCAAGACACCCAACATGAACTATTACTATTCAAGTACCAGCCGCACTCACAAACAAGTCAAACTTACTAGGTGGGTCTCCCCATGTAAATCCCTGGCGTTGGGGTATGGGGTCTTTTTGTTATGGAGAAATCAACCCTAATTCGACGTCCATCAAGCTCCATTCCATTGGCACGTTCTTTAGCCTACAAAAGATAAATTGTTACATATATCCTGGACAATTGTCTAATTATCCAATAGCTATTTAATAAAGACTGAGGGGACTTTCCATCAAGTTTCCTAATATTTTAAAAGTTGGCCAGGGGGAAAAAATTTCCTAAATGGGTTGGTTTCCTCTATTACAAATTCACTTGCTAAAAGTAGTCACAAAAATAAAGCGTAGTCACAGCAGCCTTCAGGACCTACAAAATACTTATACCACAAATTTAGGTGTACTTTCTCATACCCTTAGTGTTGTTGCGCTCACTCACGCAGTACACTAGTATCTATGAAGCCCAAATCTTAATGTCTACAAATTAGGGCTTGATGAACACAGCCCAACACTCTTCTTTGCCTATGTCTGTTTGGTATGGGAAGAAATAAACAAAACAAACAAAAACCGTGTACTGTTATATTACATGATTCAAAAATGCCTGTTGTGGAAGCTGAATACTTATAAGAGGAAGCTTGGATTTACATTAGTTGCATCCTTTTTATAAGGCTAAAATGAGTATGGACTGAAGGCTCAGCCGTTTAGAGCACTGTCTGCTTTTCAAGACCTGGATTCAATTCCCAGAATCCACCAGAGGAGCCATGTCTGCAGCTCAAATTCTGATGCCCTCTGCTGGCCTCCACAGACACACTGCACCAACTTAAATTGTAAATACACCTACTTTATAGAAAATAGCTCACTGTATTCTTATCAATGTATATTCATGGTTTACTTTATACATCAACATAGCATTAAAGAAACAGCAAGTGCTTTGTTAGGAATTTACTTTAAAATGCTTTTTGTAGAATGAATATACTAGGCTAGATCCAGGACCTTCATGAACTACTTTGTTAAAGACTAAGACATTTCCAGAGTCACATTTAGTCTTCACTGGCTTGTTGTTTTGCAAAATAGAAGTTTAAGAATAAGTTCAGAACATCATTACTGAATTCAACATGTTCCAAGCAGAACTTGTTTTTCTTAGCTCAAAACTAAAGCTGTGTGTCTTAGATCTTAAATTTATACTACAAAAATAGAAATTGCCTGGTTATCAGAACAGTTAACCAAGACTGGTGTTTTGAACTAAAGTACAATAAATATTTACTTACTTCCTTGGCATCATCTACATTTTCAAAATATACAAAGGCAAATCCTCTTGAACGTCTAGATTGCTGGTCATACACAATAGACACATCGGCAATGGGGCCATATTTAGAGAACACTTCTCTTAGGTCTCTTTCTGTGGTGTACAAGCTCAACCCAAATACTCCAAGACAACAATTGGGGTCAGGATTTGCCTAAAAAACAGAAACAGATTTTAAAATCTGAAAATCTGACATAGATCTAAAGAGGGTAGATGGGGAAGGGAAGATAGTACACAAAAGATCATTGCATCTTACAAAACATGTGACATACAGTGCAACCAAAAAGGGTAGCAAAACTCATGAGGGGGGAATCATTAAGAGACTCTTAGTAAAAAGAATCTTTGCAATCTACTTTTGAGGTGTAGACTTCAGCTTGGATTTTATTCTAAGAAAAAAATCATAGTAAGTACACAAAAATCAGAACAGCATGATTTCTTCAACTAGAAAAAGAGTAGGCTGTTTGTTTTAGTCTAGAACTTATGCAGCCCAGGATGACCCAAACCTTGACTATTTGTGAGACACTCCCTACCCAGCCAGAATTGGAAATGAACAGGTATAATTGAATCTCTTGTGCCCATTCTTGGGTGACACCTTCCCTAAGCCCTTGTAATCCAGAAACCAGCACCCAACCCTACATAGTTCCCCTTCTGTCTGCTGGAAACTTATTATTCTTGGGCTCCTCAGACACAAAGCAATTCCTTCAGTTGACCTGATGCAATAAATGAGATGGAGTTCATCTCAACTCCACCAATGAAAAGCAGAATTAAAGTGATCTTTTTGCAGAGTGGCACAAACACAGTGAGAGCTTGTCTCAAAAAGAAAAAAAAAAAAAAAAAAAAAAAAAACAAAGAGATCCAGGATAGCCAGGGCTACACAGCAAAACTGTCTTGAAAAACACCACCAAAAGGGGAAAACACAAAAGATACTTAACAAAGATGTCATGCTATGCATATCTGTACAAGGATAGCTGGGAGCAAATAACTGGAAATAAGGGTATAGACCCATGTCTCTATGGGAACTGCACTGGAGAATCCAACCAATCTCACAGATGGAAGATAAGTTTTGGCCAGCATAATAAGGGTATCACACCTATAAAGAGTGCACTATATGTAACAACTGCTTACAAATCATTTGTTTGATTTTTTTTGGTTTCTCTGTGACTTTGGAGGCTGTCCTGGAATTAGGTCTTGTAGACCAGGCTGGTCTCGAACTCAGATAACCGCCTGATGGGATTAAAGGCATACAGCACCAATGCTCAGCTACAAAATCATGTTTTGTTGAGTATTTTAAATAATCAGACATTGTAAAATTTAATTTGCAAATTAAGTACATCAAGATTAAAAATAGTAATGTTATTAATAGATGGGATAACAGCACAGAGCAAGATTTCAAACTAAAGGTGAAGCAAACACTAAGCTTCATAAATTACTTGTGGGCTTTTCCCTTAATCCTTCTGAATGTCTAGCAACTAAAATCAGACAAGGGGAACTATATCACATATTAAGTTATATATGATCATATATGAAACCCAGCAAAAAAAAATTACTTTAGTGCTGGGCGGTGGTGGCTCACGCCTTTAATCCCAGCACTCGGGAGGCAGAGACAGGCGCATCTCTGTGAGTTCAAGGCTAGGCTGGACCGACAGCCTCCAAAACAGAGAAGCCCTGTCTCGTAAAACCAAAAAATACACACACACACACACACACACACACACACACACACACACACACACACATATATATATACTTTAGCAACTATTAGTAAAATAAATTCTATACACACATTACAAGCATTCCAGTCTTAAAGAACTTAGAAAGTTCCAGTAAGTTCACACAGAAAAAACTACTTGGCAGGGAAATTACAACCTTATATAAACAGTTCCAATTCCGGAAGCAGAATGGGATTCTCTAAACACAGATGCCACGTTTTAATTTGCTACAACTCCAACAACAAAATAGAAAGATCTGGCAGTGTTTTAAGAGGATCTTCAGGCTAGGAATGCATCTCAATGGTATAATATTTACTTGCCTCGAGTACATAATAATCTAGGTTCAATTCATAGCACTTTAGAAAACCTTTTCAGCTTACCCGGTTTCCAACATGACGCCTTCGAGTAGACATGGGAGAATGGCTGTGGCTATGACGTCTTCGATAATCTCGGCTGTAAGACCTGCTCCGGGATCGTCTGTGGGAGCGGGATCGTGATCGTGACCTTGTATAATGCCTTCTAGAACTTCTTCTGGATCTAGACCTGCAAAACAGAAGTCGGGGTCATGACTAAATAGCTGAAAAATAGATAAGACTTTCAATTCTTTTATTATTCTATTCTAGAGTTAAAGTCCAAACACCATAGTCAATGATAAAAAAAATTACCCCAATCTATCATAATTTTGTTAAGCAACAAAAGTCAGAAGAACATGTTCCCTCTCTTTGATCATTTCTTCAAAATAACAAAAAGAAAATTTCAAGTTAAATATATTTAAAATTCTTTTGAGCCGGGCGTTGGTGGCGCACGCCTTTAATCCCAGCACTTGGGAGGCAGAGGCAGGCAGATCTCTGTGAGTTCGAGGCCAGCCTGGTCTACAAGAGCTAGTTCCAGGACAGCCTCCAAAGCCACAGAGAAACTCTGTCTCGAAAAACCAAAAAAAAAAAAAAAATTCTTTTGAAAATTGGACTATACAATACACTATTACTAATTGGGGTTGTTCACACCTTTACCTCTATGATGCTATCCTGTATTTTTTATTTCCTATTATGCCTGCTACTCATTTAGGCTATTTAACAAAAGCCATCACAGCCACTACAGTTTTTATTATCTCTATTAAGGCACATACATGCCTTCCATCCCAGCACTTGGAAGGCAAAGGCAGGTGGATCTGAGTTTGAGACCAGCTACCTGGTCTACAAAGTGAGTTCCAGGACAGCCGGGGCTACAGAGAAAAAAAGGTTTTGGGACTGGAAAGATGGCTCAACAGTTAAGGGCACTGGCTACTGTTCCAGAGAACCTGGATTCAATTCCCAGCAACCACGTGGTGGCTTACAACCATCTGTAGTGAGCATAAGTGCTGGTGCAGCTGAAGTTCAAAGGTTAACTATAATCTGTTCAAGCCAACATAGGGGAAAGATCTGAACCCTCACACCCCAGAAGCCCAGGTTGTTTCAGTCTTCTGGCACCCATTTCTAATACCGACATCAAACAGACTAACAAATGGACACATCCTTTCCCTTCCTTAGCCTAACAAACCCACAGCAATTTCAGAGCAGAATTAACAGGAGATCAAAATGCTCTTTCTCACCTAGATTCAGATCTGGACCTTGACTTTGATCTAGAGCGTCTCGAATCTTCCTTGGAGCGTGATCTTGCAGGGGTATGCCGTGCAGATTTCCCAGATCCATGAGCACTTCCACTTCTGGAAGCAGAACGGGATTCCTACACGCAGATCAAAAGTTTTAATTTATATACTTTTTAGGAAACTTTAAAAAACAAATAAGCTTCTGTGAGATAAATGGCCAAGGAGAGCAATCCTCTTCCAAAGATAAGAAAACACATGTGCGGGCAGGAATTGAGTATACCTGGTATAATGGTTTCATTGCTTCAACTGACATCAGTTAGTTCTTTCACCTTTCTGGAGTAGGGAAGAATTATCTAACTCCACTCCCTTAAAAGGTGTCAATATCAAATTGTTAAAGAACTACCCAAGGATTATATTTGGGGGAATATTACTACATAGACTAGGAAAGAACTTTAGTTAACTATGAAGCCTAGCCTACTACAGTCAAGCTGCAATCAAAACAAACCCCCAAAAATTTATAGGACTTCAAGTTAGTTTACTGAATGAGGGGCAAAAACAATAAGGACAACCTTGTATTTCAAGCTCTGAAGGTAGAAGAAATCTAGCTGGATTGTAAAGATGGTGGACATGAAATATGGTTGAGTCCTTGTTTTCAATGTATGTGGGGATCTCTTACAAAACTCAAGAGCAAGGCAACTGCTTTAAGAGTAGAGAAGGTGCCAAAGATCCACAGCTTTCTTGGCTAAACTGAGAAGAGCCCAGGCAAAATAAAACAGGAGACTGAGAAAAAGCAGAATATGTAAAGGGCACATTAAAACAAGGATAAAATCATGAGCTCATTATCTAGAGTAGAGGCCCAGGAAGAAAATTCTATAGATGCCTAGGCAAATACCACACATGAACTCAGTTTTCCTAACCAAAACTCCAACTAATGGCCAGTGAACTGACACAAACACGATTTTTAAAGTAAATAATAAAAAGGCAAGAAAATAGCTAAATAGGGTAATCGTTTCTTAGCCAAAGGCTTGTGTCAATTAGTAGAAAAGACACATATGTAGCAATAGGACTGGAGAAAAATTCTACAAATTAAATGGGAAGAGACAATACCTACTCCTCAGACCACTAAGCCCTCACTACAAAACCTTTAAGACAAAATGAAAGCGGTCTAGTCAACTGTTCTACTTAAGACACAGCAACAACCACTAAAATGAAAGCAGAGCTAAAACAAAAGATATGAATCTAGACAGCCACTTCCAAGTATTTTAGAATCCAGACTATGATTTACATACAGAATAAGGAAGACAATTTAGAACATTCCTCCTCAATGCTCTAAACACAGAAGAGAGGAAACCTCAAGTAAAACAGATAAAGACAACTGTTAGAAAGAATAGCTTTCCAGGCCCCAAATAATCTAGAAAATACTTCAATGACATACTAAAACATGGTGTGCTTTAATGTGTGACAGATTTCCTGGGGGCTGGAGAGATGCCTCAGTGGTACCATTGGTAGCTCATCCAGAGATCCTGAGTTCAATTCCCAGCAACCACATGGTAGGCTCACAGCTCTCCTATTTTTAATGGAATCTGATACCCTCTTTCTGGCATGCAGGTGTACATTCGGGTAGAGCACCATATACGTAAATCTTTAAAAAAAAAATCCCCTTTCAGACTGTTGCTTCATTTTAACCATAGTTTTATTCCAAACTGGGATGCCGCAGCTATCTGTCTGGTAAGAGGAATAATAGAATTTCTAGAATGGGAAATTAACTGAGTAAGGTGTCCAAAACAGATAGATGATTTAGAAAGTTCAAGACTACCCAGTCTCCAAATGTAAAATGGCTCCATGTATTTTTTGAGCAACAATTTTTAAGATCAGAAAACAGTGGAAACACCAAAACAAGATTCCCTTGCCTATATACTGCCACCTCATTGGGCTAGCAGGGAAAGGAAAAAAAAAATCACATACACACACAAAAAAAACCTGTATCTAAACTTGTCAGCTAATCCTTTGTTAAATCCTTTCACTTCGGTTGACCACCTCTTAACTGGTGAGAATATATGAAGGATTGTGTGAAGAAATGAGTCCCCACAGTGATTAGCTAAATACACAGCTCTACACTGATTATAAACCTTAATTCACAAATAATTCTATAAAGCCAGCCAGGAAAGTCCTTTTACAAATAATACCTCAAATTCAACTCAGCAACAAAGCCATATAGAACTCTACAAACAACTATACCATGGATAGCCAATGCCAAAAGCATAAACAATGCCAGAAATCTCCATCCCCCATGCTCTCAAATCTTAAGTCATTTTTACTAATGCCCACCTATAAGTAACAGGTCAACCTCAAAAACAGAAATCTCAAGCAGTCTATAGCTCCTCCCATATTGAGCAACAGCTCAGAAGTACTAACTCTCTCCTTAACAGTAGCTCATAGTACAGTCCTAAACAGCTTTTAGTTTGTGTTAGGCACCCTAATCCTAAAAAGCAAAATACATGTCAATTAAGCTTTACAGACTCAATGTCAGAAGTTAAATCTTTCTATGATTCTTTGGCAAAGCAAATCTCTCTATTTCAAGTAAAATTCCAATACCCCCATTTCAGCCCTCTGATTTTAACTGTTTTTCTGTCAATAGGACTTAAAAGCATTCTCAATGTCCACAGGCTACACCCTAATATCTGAAGAAAACAAAACAGATGTGAAACTTTGTTAATGTCAACATTTTCACTTTAAGCATATCACTTGGACCATATCAAAATTCAAATGCCCTCTATAAGTTTGAGCAATAACCCAAATTAGCATTATTCTTGATTATTATCTGACATTTTTACAAAGCAACCAATTTCCTTCTATTAGAAAACTGTACTCTCATCCTAGTAAGATACAGAAATAATATAAGCACAAGTAAAAAGCACTGACAATAGGTTACAGTGTGCCAACAAAACATGCACCCTTCAAAAAAGGTCATTTAAGTTATTTTCTCAAATAGCTCTAAAGACCCAACAACACTCAGAAAAAAATTAAAAGTTGCCATTGTTTTTTAGGAAGATAACCTTTAATATTCTGCAAGGAGAAGGCAACTATTGGTTGTCTGCTACTATGTGTACTTGTTATTAACATTATTCTAACTATAATCAGTCAAAACACAAAGGAATTTTGAGTTGATTTTTTTTTCAGTTGGGGTAGGTAGCACACCAGAAGAAAACATGTTTACTTTATCATTATCATGAACTAAGGATAGGAAAAAAGCCAACTAAGTACCAGCAACCACTGCACTTTGAATTATCATTTACACTTGCACGACCCATCTCTTAAGGGAAGCTACTATACTTAAGCAAAATCTCCAAAATTCAGTTGGAACAGGCATTAAAATGAAACAGAATATAAAGAATCATTCTTATTTGACACATATAGATCTCAACATTAGAAGTTAAGTGGTTGTAGCTTTCCACTAATGTGGAAACCTAATGCTTTCATTACAATAAAACAAACATGTTAGATGCTTTGTTTGGATTTTGGGAGTTTAGTCCCATTATCACCCTAGTGACAAGTCTTGAAAATTTTCCCATAGAAAATATTCTATACACTGCTCAGTATCAAAGCAGAAAATCAGTGCATTTTTAGAGTCCAAAGGGTGCTGAGTAACAGACCACCAGTTCCAACTCATACTCACTCATGCCCCAGAACCAGCAGAGTATAATAGATGAAAAGCCTAAGGGAAAATAAATGGGAGGCCAACTATTATTACCCAGTGGATTAGCACACTGCTGCCTGCTATTTGACTACAAATATTTTTAAAGAATTGCATTTCCATCATTTGACTAAGCAATTAAAATTAGAATTATTACCTAATTTAAACGATTCCCTTGGAAATCACTTCTTTACCCTGTATATATTTTCTTCTATTAAACAAATAATGCATGCATGTTTAGCAAAATATACAGGGACACATAAACAGACTAGTAATTACTTAGCGTAGTGCTTTCTGATTCCAGATTACTTCTTATCTTAACTTCATTTTTATTTCTTTTCTTCATTCTTCCGTTTCAAATTCTGACTTCTTTCATCTTCCCCACTTCACACAAATTGCTCAATATTCTACAAGTGGGACTTCTGGTCTGATAATTAGCATGCATTCTTTCTTTTATTTTTTCAAATTTCAGCTTCACTTATTCCTGAGCTTCAAATACTCATTTATAAAACTTGTCAAATGACGACTTCCGCATTTTCCTTCTTCAACATTAACCTTAATAGAAAAAGAACAGGATGAAGAATATTTTAAAACTCCAGGATAAAATCCAGTGCCAAAACTGAAACTAGAAAAAAAAATCCCTTTTGTAGTTTTGGATTTTAAAAAAATACTAAAATATGCAGCTCAAAAAACTGAAACTACATAGTTTCCTGTTGGTATATGGTAATCCAAATAAATTCATCATGCTTAACGTGAATGTGAAGTGCGCCACTGAACATTTACTGTTCATTTAACATTTTTACAAATTATAATCACATTTCACACTTCTTATTGTATCCAAGAAAATGCTAAGTGTCAAAAGCACATCTCTAGTCAAAAAGTGACACATTTCAATACAAAAGTGCAAGAAAGAAAAGCATGGACAACTCATCTGCACAATGACAAAGGCTGGGGTTGAAGGTTTACAATACTGTGACTTGTCTGGATAAGAAATGTATAAATTCCACATTACTGTGTATTTAAAAGAACATTGTTAGACAATGTCAGCAAACCTGACAATTTAGATCTGTCCAACCCACCCTTGGGAACTCTTCATTAGTGAAATTGTATTAGTTTAATTACAAAATCTAGAACTAAAATGCTGCTACTAAGTAAAATTTACTACATGCCAACAGCTATAAAGAAAAGCAGAGCAAACTTGATTCCAACAGTGATTATGTTCAAAGAATTCTGTTGTAGTTTTACCCTCTATTAGCAAAATATTAGTTTTCTGAGTGTTCAAAAGAGAGATCCTACTTGAAAGGTGGCAAATGAGACAATTATAATTAACCTTAAATTACTAAAAGGCTCATTTTAGCAGATTAGTGAAGTTTAGTATTAACACTGGAACACTAAGCAAAATACTGTCCATGTAAAATAATCTAGTTTTCTTTGTTACCCTGC